TATTTAGTAATAAAAAAAAAATTCCTTCATCATCATAATAAATAATGTAATTTGTTAGGTTACATAATCTGTCTGTTAAATTATCATTTCTAAAGAAATATGGACATTTCACTTCCATAATGGCATCTTCTTCATAAATTAAACTATCAGACTAGCTCCAAGGAGTCCTGAATTTGTAAGCTATATTCCTGTTGATTGAATATTTAAATTATAATGTTGTTTCAAATAATCTAATGCATCTTTTTCATGAGTTCTGCCCCATTGGATTGCTTTAATGCCATCCAGATTATATTCACCTGGAAAAAGAATTGATTTGATGGGTTGTGGTGACAATATATAAAATAATAGAAATACTACAAAATGAACAATAATTCAGTATTGGGAAAAAATGCAAACTCTGCAGGGAAGAAATTGAGATGGAAAGAAATTATGCAGTAGACTTCTTTCATGAAACAGTAAGAATGAATTAGCTCTCTGTCTTTCTTATTATCTCATTACTGCTTATTTAACTTTTACTGACTGTGCATAAAAAATAACTATCAAAGCAATACATAAAAGTAAAGGATTTGTGTTGACATTACATCCATATATGACGAAAATTTAAAACAATATAGTACTCACTCACCTAAAAGTGTTTTGAACAAACTATCTGGGAACCTCTTTTTTACGCATGCAGAAATTATCAATCCAAAACTACTTGCAGTCAAACGAAATTTTCTGGCAAGATACCACTTTTCATTTGAAGCGTGACCAGTAGTGGCAGCAGCAATGTCAAGTATTGAGTCCATGGCACATTTTTCTTTGAAGATATGGACTTTATCTGTGGCTTCCAAAAACTCCTTGGAAGAAATAATTTCTTCAATCATAAGGAAATTATTCACAGGATTTTCAGATTCCTTGTTCAACAACCAAGTAAAACCCACAGTATTTCCAAAGCTACCTAGCTTCTCCCTCAATCTTTCAATTGATTTTTTTGGTACTTGATGTTCAAGAGCTTTATATGGCTTTGGCGGATAAAGTTCTTCAGCAGATTGTACCGGCTCAGACTTAGGTTTAGCTGGGGCATTCCATAAACAAGCTTTATCTGTTACTGAGATATTGTAATGCCCAAAAAGTGCCAAAGCTGCAATGTGATGACATTTTATTCCTTTTGGACAATTACATCTTGCCGCTTGAATATCGCCACACTTTTCCAACTCTACAAGAAAAAATCAGTTCTCGGTATAATAAGTAGATAAGATAATCATACCTATTACTACATTATAGCTTTTATTTTTCATACTGGCTAATATTTCCCCTCTTATTATCATTAAATTAGAGTCAAACTGCATTTCCTTGACATGGTTGGATTCTAATGCATTTTCTCCCTTTTTTATTATCCTGTCGTCATTATCCAAGAAACCATTAATAGAAGACAGTTTTAAAACATACCTCCTTGAACAACTTGCTGCAATAAAACCAGACTTTACAATATTTCGTAAACCAGGGGTATTTTCGTCTATGATTAGACTATAGAGATTTTTTCGCGAGATCCCGTAGTGAACCGGAACGGGAACAGATAGAATTTCCCCTTCCTCTCGAAGTTTTGACAGTTTCAAGTTACACCGGGAGTATTTAGACGGCGCATGTTGCCAAAATGTTTGCTTTGAGCTCCTTGATAAACTTAGCTGCCTTGTTTGAATCTGAAATAAAAAGACCGATCGTTTTTTTGTGTAATGTATATATCACTAAAATCAATCATTTGATATGACAAGTGCGGTTCATATATCTTCTCCCGTTCTCTCCTTCGTCATTTAAAATTCAGCGATATAATTGGACTTGCAGTAGATTTCAATACTTGTCATTATTCAACGAGTAAAAATACTTTGAACTTTGAAAGTATCCAATTGCAAGAAAACTGTCTGGTATTTGCAAGTGATTTGGCCACAACGCCCTGGCAACACTGTGTACAATATTTATGGTGATTCCCTCGTTTTGGCAATGTGAGTTTTATACTTCCCGCCAATTTTGTATACAATATATCTATTCTACTATTTTATTTTAAATGTATTTGTTCTATTTATTCGCGAAAAATGAGTACAGTCCAGTGGTGCGACACTGCGAACATTATTCAAATGGCAGATGAAGAGTTGCTGCAGTACCTGCAATCCGAGGGGTTGATACGGAGACAGTTTCGCTGCCCCCGCAGGAATTGCAGAATGGTGTGCAGCATCCAGAAAAGACCGGATTACCCGTTGGGAGTCTGTTTTCGTTGCCGCACATGCAAATCTCAATATTCAGTTTTAAGTGGGTCGCATTTTGCCAACATGCGACTAAATATTAGGCAAGTAATCCATTTGCTGTTGCTATGGGTCTGCGTAGCCAGAGCTGGCACTGCTGCTATGGCAGCATCCATAAGGAAACAGACTGTATGCCAAATGTACACCTTCTTTAGGGACATTTGTTCATGGGAGCTTTTGCGGCATCCCGATTTATTTTCATTTGGTAAGTGTAAAAAAGTTCTGTTTTTTGTTAGCTAGTTATATTATATTTTTCAACAACCGACCTAAAAGTACATGTAGCTCGCAGTTTGGTTCACAAGTGTGTCTTCATGAATCCTTATGAATTTTAAAAGTTATCCGTGACCTAAATTTTCGCAGCGGTAGTAGATAAAATATGTGCAAACTACTTGCGCTGCTTTCGAACTATTGAACTATTGTGTATTAACAACGCATAGTGCTGCTTTGTCGCTTAAGAATTAGATTTGAGCGATCGAGAAATATATAAATAATATAAAGCCAGAAAATTTAAATTGCTAATCGTTCGTTACCTTTTAGGAGGAGATGGATGTATTGTCCAAATCGACGAATCTCATTGTTAAACGGAAGTACAATGTAGGCCGGCTTCCTCGAAGGGAACAGTGGGTCCTGGGCCTCTTAGATGTCTCCACGAAACGTGGGCACATTATTTATGTTCCAAATAGGAATGCGACTACGCTTGAGAGCGAAATACTAAAATTTGTCAAGCCGGGAACAGAAATCTCGACGGACGGTTGGCTACGATCGCTTGGGGAACCTAGGAGGTGTTTCCCCCTACATCCATGAAACAGTGAACAACCACACACTAAATTTTGTGGATCCGGTGATAGGAGTGTGCACTAATGAAATTGAAGGGCACTGGTCTAGATTAAAGCAATATTGAGGCGGCTGGCTGACATGCAGTCGCCTCATTTACCCGAATATATTGACCAGTTCATTTGGTGGGGGCTCTATGGTCCTAGACCCGGAGAGAGACCGATTCAAAATTATATTGCGACAAATTGCCGCAAAGTATACCTTTTAATATTGAATACTTTCTGTTCATTTTAGTTTTTGGATTTGTTGTTTAATTTACTGTCTTTACTTTTTGTTTTTGTTATCATTTAAAATTGCTTTTTATTTTACTGTTTGTTGTTTTTTATAATTACATGAAATTTTTTTTTGTTTGTTTTACTACTGTTCTTTTTTTTTACCACTTAGAATTGCTTTTTATTTTACTGTGTTGTTTTTTGTTTTTTATAATTACATGGAATTGTTTATTGTTTTACTGTTTTTATAATTATTTACAATTGTTTTTCTACTTTACTACTCTTGTGTTTTATTTTTGTTTTATAATTATTATACGTATATAAATTTTCCACTTTTCATAATTTCCCCTAAATGCGGAGCCCTATCTGGCAACAGTGCAGGCAAGCGCCTCTTATATACTATGACATATGCACAGACGTCAACGTCATACGGCAGATGGCGGTGGAGTTAATTGTGAAAAAACTGCTAAAAATACAGTAATCAAATCCAAGCGAATAACCAAAATTTCCGTATTATGTACCGCCGTTATAATATGGTTCAAGATGACACACGGGATGATGACGTCAGTTACTCGAATCGCTTGAATGCGTTGGTTTTAACCGCGGTTTGTTTATTTTAGAAAAGCGCGTATATAATTTCTGATTATTTTTATTATCACTTAATAATCGGTGCTTTTTCGTCTACAAGGGGGTATGAAAAGTTGAAAAAAGAAGCCTTTCATAATATTAATGGGAGGAATGTTTGTTTTTTCAGAAAAAAATGTTTACCGATTGAACCATGGCTTTCTAGCTATGCTAACTTTCAAGTCTCTAAACTTTTTTTCAAAGAAAATTTTTATTGATGATGAAAAAGCGATGAAAAAAAGATATTAACAAAACCGTATACATCATCCAGTGAGTTTATATGGCCATATCTTAATATTCTTGTGGTATGTGGCTATATATGATACTTTGTTAAGCGTAGGAACTAGATTTGAAGTGTCCCCAACAACAGTAGTGATTATAACTAATAAGGTGCTCTCTTATGCTAAAACTGAAGTCGGCCTGTATCAAGTTTCCCAAAAATCAACCTGAAGTACAATAAAAATGCCAATACCCGACAAAATTCTAACTTGTCACATGTCAAATAATCACCAGAAATATAAAAATACTCCTGAGTTGGGTAAATACCACAATTTTGCCGTGATAACTATGACATATAACAGCTGATTCATGACGTTCTTATAACCAAACTGATAACCACACTCGCTAGAACCGATCGGTAAATACCAATCCAAAATGGTAAATACCATTTTCATTTGGTTATCTGCTTGAATTGGATTAGTGTTTTGGGAAAAGAATTTTCATGAAAAAAGTGCTTCATCCACACTTTTCTTGTTTTAAAATAATGTATCAGACTACCCTCTATAAGTTTCCAGTGAAAAAACAGTGAAATCGGAAGTTCTATAAAACGCAACAGCAACTGCAGATAGTGCAGATGGTTATAATATACTGGTTTTATAAAAATGGGAAGAACGTACAGCGAAACACACATGCGGCCGTTACGAGTTGCAGCACTAAACTCTAGTGACATATGACACTCGATGACAGAACATCATTCAGTCATTGAGCACAGAACATCAAGAACTGATCCAAGATCAATTGTCAACGACATGTTCAAACAGAAACAATATCATCTCATTTAATAAGATTGTTTATTTAATCAAATGTTTGTCTACAGCGTGTTTGATCAGACATGCGATTCTTTTGTTTCTCTCAGCATCCTTGAACGGGGAAATATTCCATACTGCTTCTAAGGGCACATGCTCACCCTACAAAAAATCTCGATTACTAATGGGTCCGATTTTACGATCGACCCGCGGGAATCAAAAGTTGCTCCTATGGCTCAAATTCGACCAATGAGATGTAATGAATCTAATAAATATGGTCGATTTCGCATAAAATGCCTCTCAAACTAGCGGAAAATTATACGATTTGTATAAGATGGGCCCCTAATTCTCATATTAAAATAAGAAATACTTCATAAATCGTCTGATTCAGCTACGTATTCTTTCATTTGAGCCCGTGCATAAACCTTGCGACTATGGCACAACCTCCACCAATCAAAAAGCAGTCCTTATTAGAAGCATGGATCAAATCATCTGTTATAATATTTAGATTGATATGACAGCAATTACAGAACACTTTATTGAAAATAACAACGCCACTACTTACCTGAGAGAACATTTAAAAAATGGTTATAAGTTTGTAACAGGTCAATCAAACTAAATTATTGATTTTTGTCCTTGCTGCCAGGAATTGGCCACCTGAAAAGACCTGTTGAGCATAAAAGCAGTTGGAAATAAGAAACGGTTTTTTTGGAAAGGTAGTCGAGTAAATTGAATTTTTACTCTATGTTTGTTAAATAATAAGTATTCTGTAATTGCAGTAGTCTTCAAAGAGTTTATTAAGCAATTATTGTACAGCAAGGACAAAAATCAAGTAGATACTTATTTATCTAGTTTGATTGCCCTGTTACAAACCTATAAAGAGCAAAAATAGATTTTTGTAGCTAAACCTCAACAGACATGCAGATGGATTGTTAAATACTTTTTTTTAAATTATATCTCTCAGGTGAGTAGTGACATTTTTATTTCCAATAAAGTGCTCAGTAACTGCTGTCATATCAATCCAGATATTGTATCAAATTTGGTCGATGCTTAGAGTAGTACCCAAATTCTGCTTTTTAATTGGTGGCGGTTGTGCCGTAGTCGCAAAGTTTGTGCACGGGTTCAAATAAAACATAGATTTCTGTAGCTAAACCAGGTGATTTATGAAGTATTGCTTGATTTAATATGGGAATTAGGGGCCCATCTTACACAAACCGTATGATTTTTCTCTAGCCTCTATTTTGTGTCCTGGGTTAGTAAAATCGGTCCTAAGAGATACTTTTTTCAAAAGCATAAAATAAAAAACTAACTATCCAATAGGTTATGAAATAAAAGAAGCATCGGAATTTTTTTCAAAAATCACATATTTTGAATGATGGCCATCATTGCGGTTAACGTGATCCATTTTGAAATTCCAATTTCAGATGACGCGTTCGTGCATCTGTATTGTTGTTTGGCGAGTAATACTGACTTTTAATTTCCTAATCGTACTCTCTTAAAATTAGCCGCTCGGCCAATTGTCGCAGTTAAAAGCTTTCACGGGCTGTGCATGCAAGTAGTGCGGCGTCGTTTTGATGAAATCAAATGTTCTGAAGATCATGTGCTTGAATTTCAGGCATGATGTTTTATCACGATAGGATTACGGTCACTTGGAATGGATCATAATGACCACAACAACTGATGTTTGAAAGCCATAATCTTCAAAAACTGAATATCAGGATTGTGTGTTCTTTGTATTAACAACAAGATAACAGTATAAGGTTGTTTTAATACCTTTTCTATTAAAAAGTAACTCTAAATGGATCACCCGTTCACACGCAGATAGAACAGATATGAATAGCTTTGATGGACTCGCAAAAAATATAATTATTACCGTCAAATCGTCCAGGTCAGCCACCTCATCGTCATTCAATAAAGACATCACAGTCGACTCCATCGCCATGGTTAGTCCAACACGAGCGTTTTCTTCAATATCTTCTCTTATATCTGTTAATGAAATTACATTTTTGCCAGTACCCAATTCTTCTATTCTAGTTGAGAGATACCGGTAGTACTCTTCTATCAACTCATCCCAGTTTGATTCTAGCTGTTCTGGAACTCCAGCAAACAGAAAGTGTATCAAATCATTGGTCAATGTTGCATATCTGAAAAATATAATAGTGTGAAATACCTTTCTCTCTTAAACATCACATACATATACTCAGATTAGTTCACGAGTCTTAACGATCAGTAAAACCCCTTGGTCATGGCAGGGCTGAACTATAAAGGCTTCCCAGTATCCAGCGCGATTTAAAGAATTGTGTTTCTGCTGTTTTCAGTGCATAAAAGAAGCGAAGTGTTAGGCGATACGGCGGCGGTGTTGCCGCTCCCGGTGTCGTCGCACCACGCCACTTTCTTACGAATATATGTTGGTACTGGGAAGCCTTAAAGATATGTTGCTGTGCCAGAGCCATTGATATCAATTGATCGTTAAAAGCCGTGTGGTGCATTATTTCAATAAAAAAAGAATCTTTCTAAATATCTAGGAAACCTCTAATTTGAGGAGTAGACAATCTTATACAAAACTATTTTTATTGCTTAATGCGATAAAGTTATAAAAATAGGTCGTGTCAATATGAAGAAATGTCTTTTGGGTTTTTAAGAACTTTTCCATTCTCCTTTTTTTTCGTAAATGACTAACGCCTACTTTGCCAGTGATCGATCGTTGAAGTTCTTCCTGTATGTACAACGAAACTTTCCAATAGTAAGAAACAAAAATCTGTTCAAGAGGTGACGAACCTGGCTAGTTGAAAATCGATCAAAACAGCATTTTCTGGTACACCCTTTTCATTTTCCTTTACTAAGAAATTCGGTAGCCATGAGTCTCCTTCTGTTACCACCGAAAGCTTGCTTTGCCGCTTCACTAATTTGCATAAATCTCTAAAAAAGAATATGTTAAAAGAATGTGAGTGCGATAAGATGTGGTTAACTGTATGTTTGGGATCACAATTATCATGTTATAACATGTTTATATGTGACTTGTTACCATTTATGTATCCTGTCTGTTCTGTATTAAAATGTATAGAACAAAGATCTTACCCATACAAGTCTCTTTGGAAGAATTTGTCAACCTTGCCTACATAATGATCCCCTAACTCTTGTTCCACAGCATGTCTAATAACATAATACATCTTATTCTGTAAGAATCCATTGTACCAGTCTTTTAGACGATCCTCAAAATATGTTTCCTGAATATTGAATAAGTTAGTATTAGTCCATCCGATTTCGATTTAAATAATACTAGAGATTCGATGCTAATTTTTTGTAGATGATGTAGCAGTCAAGTTGATATTTTGGCATTTTTTATACAGCTGTAATGACTAAATGTCACAGCCATAGTTTAATGCAATTTAAGAAACTACTACTACTTCTACGGTTTTCTCTATTGAGACTATTTTAGAGTGCAATAGAAAGCTAAGGATCAAGTCTCTATATAGATTTTCAAGTGCGAAATCATACGAGATGAGAGGCGCTGTCTCAGTCAAATAAATAGATGTGAATTTCTCCTATCTTTGTTACACAACCATTATAATCCAGTGATCTTGATCTGGTGTTCATAAAAGGGCTTGCCTGGAAATTTTAGGGAAAGTACGGTTATGTTAGGTGACTTTACAAACGCGCGTACGGTACTTTTCAGTAGTATCCATCACGGTAGAACATTCGCTGACTATCTAGTAATATTTCAAGACAAGTCACACACAATTAATGCTGAGAGATCCGTCAACGCCAGGTAGACAGATGCGTATTTTGTTGTGATTTTTTGTACGCTACAGATTCATTTTATACTTGCTAACACGTATTTATTTAGAAAAGTTCCTTTGCATATAAGAAAACGCTTCAAGCAAAATGGCTACTAATTATCATGACTACATTTCAAGTCAGGTAGGAACAAAATAAGATAAACAGTTTTTGGCTACGTTAATCATCTCTACTTTTTAGAACTTGAATACACCATATGATTTTAAATGAAAATGAAACAGCCACACAATTAATTCAGATTGTGTGGCAGTATATGACCGAATTGATAAAGGTTCGATTCCCTGAATTTGGTCTGAACATTACTCAGGTAAAGTTAGAAATTAGAATAATGTAAGTGAAATGTACAACTATATTATTAATTTTTATGATAGGTTTTCAACATACTTAACCTGTATTTGAATGAAACGTACATTGATGACGTAAAATAAACCAGAAATACGTGTCTATAATCAAATCCAAGCGAATAACCAAAATTTCTGTGTTATGTGCCGCGGTTATAATATGGTTCAAGATGACACACGGGTTGATGACGTCAGTTACACGAATCGCTTGAACGCGTTGGTTTTAACCGCGGTTTTGTTGCAAGTTGTTTAATTTAGAGAAGCGCGTATATAATCTCTGATTATTTTTATTATCACTTAATAATCGGTGCTTTTTCGTCTACAACTGTGTATGGAAAGTTTAAAAAAGAAACCTTTCATAATATTAATGGGAGAAATGTTTTTTTTCAGAAATTTTGTTTTTGATGGAACCATGGCTTTGTAGGTATGATAACTTTCAATTCTCTAAAGTTTTCCGCATGTCAAAGAAAACATTTATTGATTCAGCAGAAATGCAAAAGCGATGAAAAAAGATATTAGCAAAACCGTATACAACTAGTGAGTTTATCTGGCCATATTTTAATATTCTTGCAGTATATGGCTACACAGGATACTTTGTTACGCATAGGAACTACATTTAAAGTCTCCCCAATAACAGTAATGAGTATAACTAAAAAGGTGATCAACTTTATGGTAAAACTGAAGTCAGCCTGTATCAAGTTTCCCAAAAATGAAGCTGAAGTACAATAACAATATCCAATACCCGGCAAAATTCTAACTTGTCACATTTCAAATAATAACCAGAAATATAAAACTACTCCTGAGTTGGGTAAATACCACAATTTTGCGGTGATAACCATGACATATAACAGCTGATTCATGACGTCACGGATATTACAACCAAACTGATAACCACACTCGCTTGAACGGATCGGTAAATACCAATCCAAAATGGTAAATACCATTTTCATTTGGTTATCCGCTTGAATTTGATTTATATTATTTTTAAAGATAATTACAGCTTCTCAAAAGGACAACGCAGCCTGTTCTGTTGACTTACATCGTAATCAATAAATCCCAGATGTACTGTAATAATTTTCTAATAAACATTTTCATGACTTCATAAGTTTTATTGTCACGCTTGAGTCTCGTAAAAGTATAATCTTGATATGTGAACAACAGCTCTGAATACTGTCCTGAAATTCATTTTTGCCAACTTTACAGACTAATACAAAGATGTCGCTTTTGTGATTAGCTGTTCATCTCAGTAGACGTCTAAACGTAATGGATAATTGTGAAAAATACCATATGAGTATGTAGCAATCTGTAAGGTTATTAACTTTTCACATCTTTACCAAAACTTTCAAAGTAAAACTACCAAATACACTAGGATTTTTTGCGATATAATCATTGTTCAAGGAGGAGTACCAATGACTTGTAAAACTACACACCTTTAGCGATGCTGCAACATCAACAAATCCAGGTACTTGATCTTTGGCAGCTATAGACAGTGCGTGGAAATGCGCGAGTAACTTCAGTAATAAAGAAATATGTTGTCTAGTAATTTTATCTTGTCTGCTGATGGATTTGTAGCCATCATAACTGATATCTAACATTGCAACGAAATCATCTGCACCATTACAAAAGCATGCTAGCATTCTGCAATCACCATAAATTGAACGTATGTATTAAAAAAAAAATGTTAAATCAGCTAATTTTGAGCACCTTACCTTATCAATTATTAATTTTATGCTCAATAAGGAATGTATAAGAGTTAAAATGGGTAAGCCCTGCGTTCCTTAAAGATGTTTAACAAATCATCTGTCTTTTCCAGACTATTAAGGCAAATAAGGCAGACCTCAAGTGAAGAATATTCATTTGATCTATTGATTCGGTTATAATTTACATGAAGTCTGCATACATACACGACTGACGGCCATTACTCAAATAAGCAGTGTGAGGTTAGAAAACATTTGAATTCAATTTCAAGCATATTGTTGCGGCAAAATAACACCTGATTATCTACAGTATATTCAGATAAGAGATAGACCGGACATAAACAAGACCACGTGATCATCGAACGCTGTAACATTCGGCAGGGACGTATTAAGAGTCACGCAGTACATATTTTAGATAGTAGATGCTGCTTTGCGTAACTTTGTAGTAAATTAGCACAATTCGATGTGTATACGATTGGTGATGGATATAGGATCATGTGGGGGTGGGGTAAGAAATATATAATGATGTAAATATACATAAGGGTTTCAAAATTTTCGCTTCGATTTCCAGCTTCGGATGCCGCCTGATGTTTGGTGAAATACAGTCGAATATAATCTCAAAATGGCGTTTAAATTAGCCTAAATTAATAATCGTATATCTCTTAAAATTGCTTTTAGAATATTGATTAGTATAATTTTTGATTTCTAGGTAAATATGTAACCAAATTAAAACGTTCAAAACGTAAAAAAATGTGCATGGTTGAACATTGTCAGAAAGTAGATACTTGAATAGGTTTTGCCAAAATGGGTTCAAAAATGTCAATAATTCATTAAAAAATACAGTAGCTTTATAATTACTTATAACTTACCGAATTTGATGAACGACATCTTTTATTGGAAAGATGAGCTTGATGAGCTTTCATCATCGCTACTGTCTGAAGCACCAACGTCAATAATGAATGGCTCGACTTGTTCCTCTTAAATATTGTCCAGTTCCCACATTCTCTTTTCAACTTTGTCTTTCACGTGCTTAATACAGTTTTCCCATTTTTGCGCTGTTATTAATTCCAGTGCTTCTTTGAAAAGTCCTTTGAGGTCACAAAATTTAAAAGTTGTATTGTGCTTAGCTATATAATTTTTAACCTCTGCTCATATGAGCTCAATGGGATTGAGCTCGCAATGGTATGGAGGTAAACGGAGCACAGTTTTATTTTGACTTGCTGCCATTTCGTCAATGGCGTATTTTTGATATTCCGCCTTGAGATCCTTGACAATTCTTAATAATTGTACTTTCAGCATTGCTTCTTCAAAGTTGATATTTTTCGAGCGGAGCCAATTTTGAACATCAACTTTCCTTGAAGCCGTGGTTGGGACCTTCTCCATTCTTCGAGAATGATAAGGCGCATTATCCAACACAATTACTGCGTTTTCCTCTAAGTTCGGTAAAATTTTTGAAAACCACTGTTCAAACGATTCGCCATTCATTTCCTCGTGGTAATCTCCAGTTTTCTTAGACTCAAAGCACCACAGACCGTCAACAACAAATCCATCCTCACTGCCAATATGGCAGATAATGAGCCTTTTCCCTTTACCTGGAAATCGAAGTACTAACTGGTGTAGATTTATTTCAATAAGCGAACCTTTTTAAAATGTTTTCATCACATTCAGCGAAAAAACATTGAGACATGAGTATCAGATTGCTATAATTGGGATTATTTAGTCATATTGAAAGAAAGAATATTGAACGTCGTATGATTACTCAGCGCTTCACAATTTAATTTAAAGTTATAAACCTTTAAAAAATGAATGATCAGGAACCTGAAATACGCGCAAATATTAATATTAACAAATTATAACTTTATAAAGCTTAAAGTATGAATTAAAATGATTAGAAATATTAGGAACGGTACACAATATAAAACTTAGTAACTTTTTTTAAGTTTATAATATTCGACATATTTTAAGATTATATTAAAAAATTATTGAAATATCGAAAACACATAAAAACATGGCTTAAAAAAGTTCTAACAAATGAAAATGAGAATAAAACATCCACGCATTTTATCGAAAGTTATAAAAGTTTTGTTACTTGTAACATGTTTTATCTGCCCCCTGGAATTAATGTTTAGAACCTTGTTCCCAAGGTTTGAAAAACATCCGATTGTTGTCTATTACTCGTATTTACCTGCTGGATTTTTTAATCCGGTGGACAGTCCATCTAGAAAGGCCCTCCTGGATGAAGTTACAGAATCATCAACCCATACTTTACTTGTAGTGTGTCCTGCGTTTACCCACGTTTCATCAAGGTAATAAATCTTCCTGTTTTGATTTCTATATTTCCCAATTTTTGTTAAATAATCCCTCCTCCATAGCACAAGTTCTTCTCTATCCAGTAGTAAACTATTACGACCCCGTTTTTTCCATTTGAAATTGAAATGCTTCAGTAACGCATGGAAAGTTGATCGTTTGAAATTTGGCAACGTTGTATCTCCATTTACCTCCTGCAGTACTTTATCTATAGTAGGTATTTCATTCCTAAAGAAGAATTCATGCACTTTCCTCCTAATCGCATGCTTATCAGCTTCATCCAATGATTTAACAATACTTTTGCGATGTTTACTGGTCATTGGCTCAGAAAAGGTGTGATTTTTTTTGTATTGTCTTAACACATTAAACACTGATGCGCGACACACCCCAACTTTGTGAGAAACCTTCACAACAATTTCTTTGATGGTTGATGCCTCGTTCTCCTCGCGCTCGATCTTAAATATATTCAAAATGACCTCTTTCATTTCTGCACTCAGGTGTCTTTTTTTAGAGCGTTTCCTAGGTGGACTACAGGAGTTTACAACTTCATCGGCAGTATCTGTACTACTGGGCATTTTGCGCAAGCAGTTGATAACAATAACAATCAATAACAAGGTATAACAATAACAACGACAAACTCAACAACTTAATAAGATAACAAACGAAAACGTCCAAAGAAATATCAAATTGCAATGATGCACACGACATACGTAACACGTCTGAACCTGAATGTGACTCTGCCTTGATACGACTGCTCTGCCGCTCGGCATAGGCATTTAATTGCGAATTGACCAATGAGGGCTCCTGTTTTACGTCGAGACGGCGGCGTTAGCGTGAAAATCACCCGAACCTTTTGTTTACATCCGGTCTATCTCTTATCTGAATATACTGTAGTAATATTTCAAAATTCCCCATATCGACAAGTGACACAATTCGTCAACACCAGGTAGACAGAGCCGTATTTTGTTGCTTTTTTTTGTATGCTACGAATTCATTTTGTACTTTTATTTAGAAAAGTCACTTCACATACAAAAAAACGCTACAAGCAAAATAGCTGGCAATGATCATGAGTACATTTCACGTCAGGTAGGAATGGAATGAGATAAACAGTTTTTGACTTTGTTAATCATATACAGGGTGACTTTGAAGTTGAGTCATTAATTTTCAGATAATGATTGTAGAAGGAAGATAAACCAAAATATGTGTGTAAAAATAAAAAAAAATGTTACCTTGTTTTATAAAGTATCCTCCCGACAAGTATTTCAGTGCGGACCTGTATTTGATCGTGCGGTCTTGGAGCACCGCCATGCCCTCCCCTGTGAGGTCTTAAGTCACCTGATTCACGAGCCCTTTGTACTACATTAACAAAGGCACGAGGGGTAGGTTGCACTCGATTGGGAAACCGATCCGCATAAATCCGTGATGCCGCGTAAATAAGAATCATGTCCACAAGTTCAGCATTTTCGTAAACATGTGCCATTTTTTATTTCGTTTGAGCCACGCAACAGACACCACTATTCACTCACGCGTTACCGACTTACACTGACTGTATACAACTGAATAAAATAATTGTAAAAACATCGTTCCAAATTCTTTCGCTTTTTTGTTTCCGATGCGATGAACCGATAAGGCGGATTATATCCGTTGTTGCCAAACACGAGCACATAATACGTAGTCGTGCCATAAGTTCTGTCCCATGATAATCTCATGATAAAAATGAAACAAGATAAGATATATTTATATGAAAGATATTATTTATTCGACAACATTTTTAGAATTCATAATCAAACAGTTTTATTCAAAATGTCCCCCCTTGGCCTTCACACACTGCTTCAATCTCGCGGGCCACTCATCTATCACTGCACGCACAGCTTCCAAAGGAATAGCTGCCGCTGATCGGATCAAATCCGCTTTCAGGGACTCGATATTACGGTGGGCTTTGGAGCAGGCCAACTGCTCTAGCAGGTCCCACAACTTGTAGTCTAAAGGATTGAGGTCCGGACTCCCTGAGGGCCAATCTTCCGCAGCAATGAACTCTGGCACATTGCTTTCCAGCCAGCGCTGCGTACTCTTAGCCTTGTGAGCGGGGGCGGAATCCTGCTGGTAGACCCAGTGTTGGTTGGCAAACAATGTACCACTTAAAGGCTTGACGATAGGATCCAGTATGTCGCTCTGATAGTTTGCCGCTTTTGTTTTCACGCCCTGTTTACAGAAATGGAGCTGAGTGACCCCTTCGTAGGACACCCCCCACCAAACCATGACTGACGCAGGGTGGTGGCCTCTCTCAACTCTCGGAATGATCTCCGAAGCTTCCTGTGAACTCCTTGCATACACTTTGTCATTTTGTCGGTTGAATTTTTCTTCTATGGTGAAGATTTTCTCATCCGTGAACAAAATCTTTCGGAATCCCCCAGCTGCGTACCTCTCCAAGAGCTTCTTGGATCTTGTCGCCCTGATGTGTCGCAAGGTGGCCGTAAGTCGCTGGCCCGTACGTCTCCGGTAAGCCCCTAGCCCTAGGTCTTGTTTAATGATGCGCGACATCGTCCGGACAGGAATCTTCATTTCCCTGGATAGGATCTTCTGCTTCCGGAGTGGATTCCTTTGAATCCTGGCTTTTACGGCTTTGATGGCTGC